TTTAATGATTTATTAAGGAGTAAAAAAATAATGATACTTAATTGTCACATTTAATGATTTATTAAGGAGTAAAAAAATAATGATACTTAATTGTCACATTTAATGATTTATTAAGGAGTAAAAAAAAAAATTTTTTTTTGACAGATCACAGCGTATGACATTTAAATTTTTTGGCATTTCTAATATCGATATCTCGGTTTTCGCCGTTGATTTGTTACACAAAGATCTCCGATATTGATTCTCCGAGCCTATGCAATCGAATGTGTAACTATTTACCAATTTAGTACTATAATTTTGCTGTTAATTATTAAATGCGTATTCAGAAATTTATATTTTCGGTATTCTTCAAAATACACCAAGCCTCGTCTGATCTGTAAAGAAAATGAATCTCTTTTTAAAGGAAATTTATTTCATGTAATGTGATTTTTTATACAAAGAAAACCGCAATAAAATTTTATACCTTTTTTGGACCTAATTTGATTTTATAACCTAGAAATGATTGTGATATTCCTTACTGTTACTCAAAAAATATCATGCAATATATCATGCAATATATCATGCAATATATCACAAATGACCGTTTTTTTTCTGAGGCTAAAAAAAGTTATGTAAGCCAATAATATGCAATCATAAAAAATTGCAGGTTCGTTGTTCACCCGGAACAATACTTGATCATGCATTTTATCGGAATTTTCTGTTCCGTTAATGAACAAGAATCGATTTTAGTAAATTGATTGATATACGACTATTTGTCCTTCTTTAGAACTTGGAATGTTTGCAATTCTGAATCTATTATGAATTATTCAAGACAATAATAGATTGCTCATTTGTCTCAAATGTATTTCATGCAGAAATGGAAAATTCTATTTTTCATAGCATATATCATATATAGCATTAATTTTTTAGCATTATCAAATAGTGCATAATAGTTAGTATATACGATATAATATATATTTATCCAGTAACATTTCGTAACATTTCAATAAGCACGTGTTTCATTTGTGTGTCTAATAAGTATATGATAATTGATTACATCGGTTAAAGATACACATTACACAATAACTTTATTATTCATATTAAACATTTAGTTCATTCAATAATACTTCTCTGATTATTCTTTTTTTCTACTACTATTAATCAAATATAAACTGCGGATAACTGGAAACTCTAACTTTGTGATACATGTTTCCATGTTAAATTACATGGTTGGATAGTAAATATAGTAAAATGAAATCATCTTTAAACTAGTGAATATAATGGTGATATATTAGTCAAGTGGATCATCGTTGTGCAGGCGGAGAAAAAATATATTAAATATTCCCGAGTTGAACACTAACTACGATTTATAATTATCACAAATAAACAAAAACTTTACTGATGGAATTTGAAGTCCGACAACTTGTATTCTCTTTCTTTTTCTGCTCAACTTCCCTCCTTTTTTTTTTAAGATTTCTTGTTAAACGGGGGACAAACGATTAAACATATGATTACTTGATGCAGGTGTATTGATCATATGATATAGTTAATTTACACGACATGTTTACAAACAAATCTAGATTTTTTGATAATGACAAAATACTTTGTTAAAAAAACAATTGTTTTTTTTCTCTCTCTCTCTTCCCTTCCATTCTACTATCCTTTTACATAATTCCGCTATTTTTTGAATTTTATCAATAAATTTTATCAATTCCATCATTTTCTCATTTTTAATTGATTGATGGAATTAATTTAATTAAATTAATTAAATTAATTAAATTAATAAATTTTCGTATAAATAAATAAATATATATATATATAATACTATTATAATTTTTTTCGAATTCTAATTTTTTTTAAACCTCTTTACGTAATCATCAGAAGACGTCTTATGATTTTATCACATTATTCCAGTATTCTATTTTTATCACAAATATTTACAGATTTTTTTGTCTTCGTTTATGATTTCCTCTTTTAAGAAATTACTCTTATAGTTTTGTTGAATCCTTATATCATGTTATATCATGTATGTGTATGTAGTATGTGTTAGTGATATATTTTTATGTATATTATTCAATTTTCAAGTCTACAGTTTTTTTTTTTAATTATAGATTATTATAGATTACGATTACCAATTTTGTGAATAAATTAAAATGAATTGAAATGAACTGACTATTTAATTATAATTTATCATGTCAGCAAAAATTCGAAAATGTAAACTCGTTCATGCTAATATTAGAATTTTGAGTAATACAATTCCAAATGTGTTAAATGCATTATTAGGTCTAAGAATTTCATAAATGTCCGTAACGGGAAATGTTAAATTCTTGCGATTATTGCGATATGTCAAGGTAACTTTAATCAATTGGTTGGTATGTTTTAATTTGAATAGCTTGGCTACTTTGGTCACTTTAGTTGTTTTGTTTATTTGCTTGTTTTGTTACTCTGATTATTTTTACTACTTTTTTATTTTTAGTTTTGTTCGACTGGTATAAATTGTGAATCTCGTAAAGGTAAGAATTCTCTATAATATTGGCTAGTTGTCATTATTGAAATTGACATCGTTACTGAAGTCGTTGAAATTGATATTGCTGAAATTAAATCGTTTTGTTTATTCAAGTCTAGCTGCGTAAAATTAACTGGTACATTACTATGGACAGAAAAGTTTGTGCTAGGATATAATTCTGGTGTAGTAAATGTGCTTAAATTAATTCTGTTTCGAATTCTTGTTGAATATGTAAGGTTTTTGTTTGCTTTCTTTGCAGTCTCAAATCTAGCAGGAACGTAGAATAAATGATCTTACATCCAGATTCTCATTTTATGCGCATAATAACTTGGTTATTTTTTCATTTCTAGACTTAAATGCCTCTTTCGCAAGTCGTTTATAATAAGTTCGAATTCTTTTGCAGGATTGAGACGCGAGTGATGATATCACTGTTATTGGTAAATAATACCGTCATTGGTAAATAATACTTTCATTTCTTACTTATTCTAAAAATACATTTCTGTAAATAATAAACGCATTTGGAAATCTTGGTATTTTATTTCTGGGTTTAGAAAAACTAGATCCTTAACATCGATCAAAGGTAGAAATGAAATATTACTTTAAAAACACCGGCCTCGTCAACGAACTGATGAATATCATTGATTTGGATTCGTTCATCCTCTTTGATTTTAAATTTCGATCCATTTCGTTTGATATTACATAAATTTTCTAATTTAGTTACATCGAATATTAATGATTTGTAATTAAAATTACTTTCCTCTTCATATTCCGCATATGTTTAAGGCATTGTTTGTATACTTAAAATGTTTAAAAAAAAGTTCTTTCATGATAAAACGATAGCTACTATTTCTGTTTTATGTACACAGTTGAACGAATATCAATGGTTCACCGACTATACTGCATAATATCTGATATTCTTATATTTATTACATGATTTATTAACTTAAAACAACTTTGCATTAGATACTTTGCAATAAATGTAATAAATATGTATTATGAATTTGTCCTGTAAATAAACACCAGATAAAACAGATATCCGTTAAGCGACTAACAGATACAGTAGACACACCTAGTATCGCCACCAAAAATAATTACATATATACAGAGTTTAAATTCTTATTTGCCGATATTAAAATTGCAATTCTTGAAGTTCGTTTATGTTAAGGTAACTTTTATTATGATTAGAGGTTAGAAACTTATATAATAAAATTACTCAAGGAAAACTTTTTGTTAGTGTGTGAAGAGTAGTTTTATATGCAATTTTTCAAGAAATAATCGATTTTTAACAAAACGGCCGTTCGTTTTAAATCTTCCTACTAGTTGAAATCTGATTCGTAGCTCAGGCAATCTGCGCAACAAACCTGGCACATTCAAGAATTGCCGACATTTGATTTATAATAATAATAACAACAATTTACGTGGAAATTTTTTTGGTCGCAGTATTTTCTGAAATAGAATATACACATCTTACAAAACTTTGTTCATCTTGTTGAATTACGAAACCAAATATTGCGTTTCAAATTAATAATAAATCATGTTTTGAGTGTACAAGCCACGTAAATTAAAGTGAAAAGTTGAAATGTGAGGATCGAATTTTAAATGATATTCGCAAGCAAAAAGCATAAACTTCAAAGAGCTTGAATACGTATATAGTTTATAAAATAGATGTCGAAGGAGAACGCAATATCTTGTTTGTCATATCCTTTCGAAAATTATTGCCAGTATAGTTGCATAGGCTTCAATTACTTCTGCATGAACAAACATTACCATTGTAAAGAATCAATCTTGAAAGCATTAATTCTGAATTGAATAAATTTATCATTAAAATTTGACATATCTTGTTAATTCTCTCGAGAAGATGGTTTTCATATATTATGGTTTAAAAATTTCTAAACCTAGAATATTGAATTAACTTTAGGGTTAAGGTCATTTAATGTTAGTTTTAGATGGTTATATATATGCAAGATTACCTTTTTAACCTACCTACGGTGGATATAGACTGCCATTTTTTGTATTTTTTCGGTTTTTCTTGTATTATTTTGCTAGCAATCATCAAAATTCGATAATTTGATTGGACAATAATCATATAATTTATGTCAGGAATGAAGCTTGGAATCGAATGATGCTAAAATTTGAATTATTTTAATATAAAATTTTGAGCTATTTTTTTTCGTTTTTTTTAAAAGTTAGGTTAGTATTTAGGGTTAGAGTTTATAATAAAAATGTATATGTAGATTTTAGTTGAGTTTATATTTTTAAATTGAGACCCCAAATTCTCAGCATCATCCGATTCCAAGTTTCATTCTCACAATTTATCTTCGCTTTAGGCGACCTAGATTTGGTAATTTGAGTTGATTCTTTTTTATAGTACAGTACCGGACAGCAAGAAACATCCACTTTTTATATATAAATATAAAAATGCTTATAACTTGCAAACAAATGAATTTAAATAAAA